CGCACCGAGAAGGCGGGGCTGCGTGGCGGCTCACCTGGCCGGTGCGGCGGGTGGCGGGGGCGCGTCTGTGCGCGTGCGCGAGTGTGTCCTGTCAGCGGCGGAGGGGGCTGGACCGCTTGATCGGGTCCGCGCGAGGTGCCGGTGCACGGGGGTCCAGTCGGCATGATAGATGGGGCAAGGGCAAAGGAGGCCTTTAAGATTCCGGCAGACGGAGAACGCAGCCAGGGTGCTGGAGTGAACGCGGGGTCAAGGTGGTAGGTGAGTGGCCCCTTGGCTTGAGGAGGCCTGGGCACTTACTGCTTCTCTCGTGGCCCAGATGACGCCATGGTGGAGACTGCTGAGGAGGCGAAGGAGCCTGCTGAGGCCGACATCAACGAGCTGTGTCGGGACATGTTCTCGAAGATGGCCACTTACCTGACTGGGGAGCTGACGGGTGAGACAGGGCAGGGTTGGTTTGCTTGCTTGTTTGCGGGACACTGACAAGCACCACTCCTTGCCAACCCCAGGTAACCTGTGATGTGCTTTTCAGTTTTCTTCCCTTCCGTGTACCCAGAGACCAGCCTGTTGTAAGTCTGAATGAGTCATGAATGGGACAGAGAGAGGCCCATACACTTCCTCAGAGAAGCTCAGGGAATGGCTTTCAGACGCACCCATCGCTATGGAAGATACCTGTCTCTGTGGTCTGGTCATATGGAATTGGTTCTGGCTCACCCAGACCTTGGGTCTACCACAAGGAATTAATACCTGCCCTCACCATCTTCACCATGTTGGAGCCCATTGTTGCAGCCGTGATCAGTCCATCTGGTGAAGGGCCTTCCTATTTTGCACTGACACTGCCCTGTACCGAGCATGATGACCTTCTCTAAGGGCTGGCCTCACCTGAGAACATGTCCAGAGTATGTTGGACTAAGTCTTATCATTCTCGCTTCTGTTGAACATCCTGGCTGGACTTCTTCTGACACATTTGTTCGTTCGCCCTGGCAGGCTGTGGTACCTTCAGCGTTCTTTGACAATGCCTTAATTCAAATGCATTCCTTCTTCTTGGTCTTCTTCCTGGTTCATTGTCCAGCTTTGGCATGCGCATGAGATGGTTGAAAATACCGCGGCTTGAGTTAGGCGCACCTTAGTCCTTGAAGTGACACCATTGCTTTATAATACTTTAACAACGCCTTCTGCAGCATATTTGCTCAATGCATGGTATTGTTTGGTTTCTTGACGGTTGCTTCCACGGGCATTGTCTGGAGCCAAGAAGAACGAAATCCTTGACAACATCAGTGTTTTCTTCGTTTATAATGATACTGTGTAGACACATGCCGAAAAAGCACCAGAAAATGAATGCCCACATGATGACTGACAGGAGAAAGGGGAGATGATACAAGATGACAAATAAGGTGACAGAAGCTGGCAGTTTGGGTAATGCAGATATGTTGATAGGAGTGAGAGAAATGACATGGAGACATGGAAGTGACCTGTAGATCTAGGGACATAGTAGGTTGGTCAGAGAAGTAGATGACTCCCGTGGGGCATGATTGGTTTCTAAGCTCACTGTGTGTTTCTCGGTGGGCAGCACTCATGATCCATGTGTCCAGGAGGGTCCAGAAAGTGCCGCCTGGTTCACTGTGGCTCATAAGCATTTATTTTATGGTGCTTTAGGTGAAAGTAATGGATCCCTGGTGGCATAGTGAACTACAGGGTCACTGATTTGAACTCACTGCTTTCTCCATGGGAGAAAGATGAGGCTGTGGACTCCTGTAAAGAGTCAAAGTCTCGGAAGGCCACAGGGGCAGTTCTGCTCTATCCTGTTGGGTCCTATGAGTCAGGTTCAACTTGATGGCAGTGAGTTAGGTCAAAGTTTACAAAGCGAGTTAGTTTTCCATTCATCCACTTACACTTTTGTTGCTGTTGTTTTGTCACATTAGTTGCAGTCCCCTCAGTAGAGTGGCACTCTTCCTCCTTCCTCCCTGGATCCCCTATTTCTGTTCATCCTTCTTTCCTTTCCCTTCCTGCCTTCTGAGCTTTGGTTTGGGGCAAGTGGTTGATTTTTCTGAGGATTAAGTTCCTTTTGGGTGTGAATAAGAGCCCTGATGGGGGTGGGCTATGCATTGGGCCCGAAAGGTCAGCAGTATGAAACCACTAGCCACTCCCCAAGAGAAAGATGAGGCTTTCTACTCCTGTAAAGAGTTGCAGCTCTAGATAGCCACAGGGCCAATTCTACCCTGTCCTATAGGGTCATTATAAGTCTGAACCAACTTGATGGCAGTGAGTTTTTGTGTGGTATCCCTGTTTACGCTATCACTGGGTCTGTCTGAATGAAAGGTGATCTCTGGAGGTGAGTTCAGGTCTAGGTTTGCAGCTTGCCTGAGGGCTGTGTGTAGTCTTGGGAGTGGGTCAGAAGTATTTATCATACTGTTTCACTTCCCCAGGAAATGGCAGTTAAATTGGTAAACTTATGAGAAACTATAAGGAAAGGCTAAGAAAGGTTTCCTATTTCTAATTTATCAGCCTGATTATCTATCTATTTAAATTTTTTAGTTCTTTTTAAAAACTCCCAGAATTTGGCAAGAGTTGGCCCCCATTCTTGTGAGACTCTAAGGAACTACCATCAAGCAGCTGCCACCGTTAGAAAGGACTAGTACTACCCAGTTGGTCCTCACCACTGCCTCTTTTTCTCCCCCTTCCGTAGTTTGTCACACGTATCACTCTTCTTAGACTGTTGCTATTTTCAGTTGTGGTTCAGAAGTGGTTTTGTGTACTGACGGCTCTCTCAACACTGGTAAAGTGAGTGGTCGACTAAGTGGACTATATGGTTCAGGCAGAAGAGGGCTTAGTTCTTTATGGAAGTGAGTAATTTTCTTGTGTATGCATTATGCAAACAGCTGGCTGGCTTAAAGCCCAAACGGAAAACAGTATTTTCATACTCCCCTTAGTTCCTCTTTCCAGATTTCCTATTGTAGTTAACAGCACCACCCTTCTTCCAGGTGCCTAGGCTTACACCCTCAGGTATTAACTTTGGCCACTTTCACCCACCAATATCCACTTCCACGTGCCCTAGAAATCCCAAACCTGTAATATTTTTGCAGGAGCCCCGCGGAAGAAGTGGTTAAGTACATGGCTGCCAACCAAAAGATGATCAGTTCAGAACTCACCTGCCACTCTGGACGAAAAGTGTGGCAGTCTAGTTCTGTAACGTGGATGGCCTGGGAAGCTCGATGAGGCAGATCTCCTCTTTCTCGAGGGGCGCCAGGAGCCTGATTGAACTCGATGGCACACAACCACCAGCGATGCTTCTGTACCCATGCTCTCCTTTCCTGTCACTGCCTCAGACCATCACTTCTCCTGCCACAATTGTCTGTCTGCCTTTGGTTGTCCCCCTCGTGCACCATTCCCCCATGCTCCCACTGCTATCAGATTGTCCCTCTAAAACGGGTTACTTGCTTTTCAGAAATTTGCATGGGCATGGGAATTGAGGGTTTACAGACCAATCATGTTTTGGAAGAGTCACTGTATAAAATGTAATAGAGAACTATGTATACAATAGTAAATCACTCACTGAGAAGTAGTAGGGTCCTAGTTGATGGTATATATTTTTAATTCTCTCTCTGCACCCCCCCCAATATTCCTTTTTATGCTGTAGAAGCTGAGATACTGAGACGTTGGGGCTACCCTTTTCTTAGCACACACGTTTCTGCTTTCCATTTCTAACCAGGATCCTGAGGTTTCTGAATCCTATTTGTTTGGAATCATTTGCTGATTGCTGCCTGGATTTCTACTTCAAAGTACCCAGCTTCTTTGATAATGCCTAGGTTCTACCTGTAATTGTCCTGCGGCCTATAATTGGACATTTCAGTGAGCCTAGATATGTCTTACACACATCCATTTTCTTTTTGTTTTAAAGCCACCAGTGAAGATTATAAGCTTCTGGAAAATATGAATAAACTAACCAGCTTGAAGTATCTTGAAATGAAAGATATTGCTATAAACATTAGTAGGAACCTAACGGACTTAAACCAGAAGTGTAAGTAATGCTTTTGATAATTAGAGATGTTTGCACTGACTGTCCTTTTGGGCAGAGGGCAGTGGGGAAGGGGCGGGAACATGGCCTCAGTCCTTGAATTACAGAGTTAGGGTGAGTTTCTTCCATTCTGAGGACTAGTATGCTTTGATGGCCTCATGATTTCTAATGAATTGATTTAAAAATGAAGTCCATAAATGAATACTCTAGAAATGGGAAAAATCAGAAAATATGTAGGTGGAACAATGCACATTTAGAGTGATGATTATATTATTTTTTCCCACAAACTTATGTTTGTTTTTCCTACTTCTACGGCACTTCTTGGTTGGAGACTGCTTGAGAAACTGAGTCATTAGTGGAAAGATTGCTTACAAGCAAGGGGAAAGCGTGACAACATGAGCCCTGAGAGGGATTTACTGTGTCTGGGTTGCAGTGAGCCCAACCACCTGCCTTGCTAGTGATTAGAACTCAGGTCAACCTCCCAGTCTTTCCAAGGCAGTGCAGTCGACACCTTAGCATTCTCCCCCGCCCTCTGTGCTCCCTCCGTTTTCTACCCTCCCTGTGATCCTGCACAAACACGTGGTTTGTCTTTGTTTTTAAAGATGCTGGACTGCAGCCTTACCTGGATCAGATCAATTTAATTGAGGAGCAGGTAGCAGCTCTTGAGCAGGCAGCCTACAAGTTGGATGCATATTCCAAAAAACTGGGTAATGTTTAGTTCCATTTTGGTTTGATAAAGAATAGGCACTGCCAGGACAAGGGAATAACAAGTGATCCAAAATCAGTGGTGAGGAGTGTGTAGGAGGCCTGGTAGGGCTTGATCAAGGGCAATGTAACTGAGAGGAATTACTGAAACCTAATGAAGGCTGAACATGATAGTGGGACAGGAGGAAAGTAAAAGGAAATAGAGGAAAGAACGAGGAGACAAAGGGCATTTATAGAGGTCTAAATAAAGGCATGTACATATGTAAATATATTCACATATGATGAAGGGGAAATAGATCTATGTGAATATTTATAGGTCTAGTATTAAGGTAGCAGATGGACATTGGGCCTCCACTTAAGTACTCTCTCAATGCAAGAATACTTTGTTCTATTAAACTGGCATTCCATGATGCTCACCTTCCCAACATGATCAGGTGCATAAGCAAATGTGGTGAAGAAAGCTGATGGTACCTGGCTATCAAAAGATATATCGTTTGGGGTCTTAAAGGCTTGAAGATAAACAAGCGGCCATCTAGCTCAGAAGCAACAAAGCCCACATGGAAGAAGCACACCAGCCTGTGTGATCATGAGGTGTCTATGGGATCAGGTGTCATGCATCAAAGAACAAAAAAATTGTATCATTGTGAATGAGGGAGAGTGCTGAGTGGTGACAAAAGGCCCATCTGTAGGCAATTAGCCCCTTACAGAAGGGTCTCGGGGAGGAGACGAGCCAGTCAGGGTGTGATGTAGCAACGATGAAACATACAACTTTCCTATAGTTCCTTAATGCTTCCTCCCTCCCACTATCATGACCCCAATTTTACCTTACAAATCTAGCTAGACCAGAGGATGTACACTGGTACAGATAGGAACTGGAAACACAGGGAATCCAGGACAGATGAACCCCTCAGGATCAGCGGTGAGAGTGGCGATACCGGGAGGGTGGAGGGAAGGTAGGGAAGAAAGGGGGAACTGATTACAAGGATCTACATTTAACCCCCACTCTGGGGGATGGACTATAGAAAAGTGGGTAAAGGGAGACATCGGACAGTGTAAGACATGAAAAAATAATAGTTTATAAATTATCAAGGGTTTGTGAGGGAGGGGGCAGTGGGAATGGAGGGGAAAAGTGAGGAGCTGATACCAAGGGCTCACGTAGAAAGAAAATGTTTTGAAAATGATGATGGCAACAAATGTACAAATGTGCTTGACACAATGGATGTATGTATGGATTGTGATGAGTTGTACAAGCCCCCAATAAAATGATTATTAAAAAAAAGTTTACATAGCTTTTGGGGGATTCTGGTTTTGGGGGGGTACCTCTAGTATATGACTAGTTAACATTTGTGGCATGCCTACAGTATTCTGTCTTTTAATCTGTATGTAAACCAGTTGCACGTAATTTATTATTATTATTACTAACACAAATAGCATCCCTCAGTATTTAGTGATATATCAGGCACTGTTAATCTTGCTGCCTCACGTGTGTTGTGTGTTTTACCTCTTGACAATCTATGAGTTAAGTATACTGGTTAAATAAGTCACTCAGGTGGCAAGGCCAGTTTTTGAAGGAGCGTTTTTCTAAGTTCAGTATGTGACCACACAGCTCAGGCTGTTCCTCATGGCCCAGTAGGCAGAGCATCTTTAATAATGTGAGAACTAATGTTTTATAAAGCAGCAGCTGGCTAAGTGAAGGGTTTTCTAGAAGACTCGTTTTCCTCTAAAGAGGAAGCTGGTGCTTGCTAACCAGCTGTGGCGCTTATATCCACGATTTAAAATGTTGCATTTGTTTTTGTCCTAAGTATAATTTACAGATTATTTTCTTTTCATCATTAATAGTTATCGCCTGAGGAGAGTGGCTCATCACAGGCTGCGGTTTGACATGGGTGGGTGATTAATCGTTTCAGGGCCCGCAGTTACATTTAGTCATTGGTTCCTGGTAACCTTCCTATGTGGAAGTCTTGTTGCCAGATGCTTTTGAGGTTTTGAAAGAAAAGGAGAAGCATCTATTTTAAGGAGCTTTTTAGGTGGCCTTTCAAAATGGCTTTCCCAGCATGAGTTTTATGGATCAGGAAATAGGAGAAAGTTCTTTTATACTTCCTGGGCCCGAAATTGAAGTTGACAGTTTTTTTGTTTTAATCAAATTTTTTGAATTGTTAACTAAAAAAGGACCTTTAGAAGAGCCAGTCTTGAAAGATTGATCTTTCTTCCTTCTTCTCCTTGGCAGAAGCCAAGTACAAGAAGCTGGAGAAGCGATGAAAAACCTATTCCTGTGGGACAGTCTGTGTTTTTAACCGTTTAAGAATGTATACACTTTGAAGCCTGGGGCTGACGGAAATGTCAAAGCCCCTCAGAAGGAGATGATGCTGGAACATCCCAACACTGGAGTAAACTGGAGGACTGGGTCTACTCCTGAACTTCCCTTGAGGCAGCGTCCTTCAGAAACGCACACTCTTACTCCTCACCTTCTACTTGAATGCTTTCCCATCCGTTCAGAACAGACTCGAAGTTCAGAATAAACCTGGGCTTGCCAGTATGATCAAATGAAAGGACCTGTTTTCTCTGGTAGTGATTGTTTGTTATTTTCTTAAATGGCTGATCTTTACGTTACGGTGTAAATGGTTTTTGCTATTAATAATGCTAATGTATTGTTAAGAATCTAAATTAAAAAAAGGAAAATAAAGCAAACATGTCTTTTGCAACTGATTACCTTGAAGTTGTCCATAATCTGCTTTTCCACAGCACTGCCAATATCATTCATTCTAGGTCGAGCCTTCTAGACGAAGTAGGAACCGTGAAAGGAGTGTCCCGATGCTTTGTGCGTGTGACGGGCCTCTTCTCTGTGTGTCAGAGTGCTGGGAATGCACGGGGTGACCTGTGCTCCTTCATGGAAATGTGATCAAGTTCAAAATAGGGTGTCGGTGTGTGTAGTTGTTGGCTGATGAGACAGGGGCTGCCACTCAAAATAGAGCCTTTGAAGAAACATTTTCCTTATTTCTGGGAACCCAGGAGACTCAGACATTCCCTTTAGACAAAAGACGTCCTTAGAGGATACCGATTTACCGATTTGGCTTGAAAGACAGGCAGTCTTACCTAGCGCTGGGCTTCAGCAGCTAAGGAGGTGCTTGAGGTTCCCACCTCTTCCCCGAAAAGAGTTTTTAATTGTTTCTATTTCCACTACCTCTGTTCTGCATCACTATAATTTATCCACTGCTCCTGGGGACTGTTCTTGGGATCTCTCTTCTTGTCCTATGTCACCAACCTACCCTCCACGCTGCTGCCGAGTCAGTCTTTCTGTATAAACTGGCCACATTATTCCTCCTGCATTTGCTGGTGTAGCATGGCTCCCAATGAGAAGAAACAGCTGCAAACATCCAGTAATAATCAGAATGTATAAGAAAAAAATCAGAATGTGAGATAATACAAAGTTTGAATCAAGGGAAATTGGAAGTCATAAAAAATACAGTGGAGTGTTGGCAGATCGATAGCAAGGCTTTATTATAGGTGCTGACAAGTTGATTTTGACTTACCATGACATGTGCCCTATGGATTAAAACACGGTATGGCCCCGCACCAAGCACAGCACAAAGGTTTCTGTATTTGATCCCCTGGTTGAGCTACTGTTGAGCGTCTTCCTCTTTTTTCATGGATGCTCGACTTTAGGGAGCTAAAGCCATTTCAAATCAGACAAAAATGGGAAGGAATGCCATTACCACCAACAAGTATTTGGTGTTAAACTATTTTAGGAAGAAGTCCAAGCTGCACGAAGGTATGTGAAAAATAAGGTATGATGTGAAAATTAGCTGAAAAACAAGTCTCCAGAAATGGTAGGAAGACCAATCAAGATGTTTCAACACATGAATGCACCACTGGGAGCACTCACTCAGCTATACCACGAAGGTGGAAGACAGCTACTGGGCTAACTGACTGGACGAGATCCATATGTGCATGTATTCCAAAGAAAGGTGACCCATGGAACATGAACTTATCAAACTATCAATGTCACGTACAAGCGAAATGCCGGAGATAATTTAAAAATGGTTACAGCATCAGTAGGGAACTGCCAGAAATTCAAGCCCGATTCAGAAAAGGATTTGAAACAAGGGATACCATTGTTGACATCACATGGATCTTGTCTAAAAGCAGAGAATACCAGAAAGATGTTTACCTGTGTTTTCTTGATTTTATGAGGACATTCAGTTATGTGTGGCATAACAAATTATAGATAATATTGTGAAGAATGGGAATTCCAGAACATGTAATTGCACTCATGCAGAAACTACATAGACTAAGGGGCGGTGTTTGAACAGAGCAAGGTTCAAAATAAAAGACAGTACATCCTCTCACCATACTTATTCAGTCTGTGTAAATCAAAAACTAAGCCATTGAGCCCATTCTGACTAACAATCCTATAGGGTTTCTAAGCTTAGGTCTTTATTGGGGTGGAAATCCTCATCTTCCCCACCATATCAGCATCAATCTCTACTGAAGAAATAACTCAAGAAGCGGAACTGTATCAAGAAGGTGGCGTCAGGATTGGAGGAAGATCCATTAATAACTTTGGACACAAAATCGACACCATCTTGCTGAAATGATGAAAACTTAAAGCACTGATGTGGAAAGACTACAGCCTTTAGTATGGATTGCACCTCAACGTAAAAACACAAATATCCATGATAAAGAGTGAAAGCATACAGGTAAACAAAGAAGTTCCTTACAATTGAGGTACAGGAAGACTAAAGGCACCCAGGTAATTAAAAAATGAAATTGGTTTTAAAAAACGGAATTGAAGATAGTAAAACCACTGCCGGTGAGTTGATTTCACCTTAGGGGATGGACTGGACCTGCTCCAGAGGGTTTCAGTGTTGGCATGAGCAGGCCATAGACTTCTAGAGAACCAATAATTCTGCATCGGAAGTCTAGCCAGAATTCTCATTACAAATTAGGGTTTTTAAAAAAATGATAAGACTTTAAAAACAAAATGTTATTTAAGCTGATCATCACAAGGTTGCACAAGGAGACTTAATTAAAAGAAAATGACACCACAGCTTAAGAAACAGAGTTCTACGCAGAAACCATGGGGAGGAAGGACATGGCAACACAAGGACCGGGCAGGGCAGGCCTTTTGGCTGGGAGACTGGGTTTGAGTAAGCCTTGGCTGGAGGTTTCTTTTCGTAAACCATTTAGAAGAGATTTACAGAAAAGATGCAAAATAATAGAAAATTCCTTTTCCTGGAATTGTTACTTTCCCCTCTTTAGCAAATTTTTCTTGTGGAAGAGTAGATCGGTAACTGGACAATTCAGTCTTCGTGTCAGTCCGGGGACGTTTGCGTCACACCCCAGCCCCAGTCGGAAAGAAAGCAGGGGCATCAGTGTTTGTGAGGGAAGCAACTTGGTAGTTAGCAAGAAGGCATTGTAGAAGTTGTGGGGAGAAATAAAAGCTTGGTGGTGTGTCCTTAAACTTGTGCTTTAATTTTTTAATGACCTAGATGCCTCTAGTCTTCCTGTACTTCAATTGTAAGGAACTTCGTTTTCCTGTATGTATTCGCACGGTTGTCTCCTACCGGTGGGCCTGCGCTCTGCGCATATATAAATGCGAAAACCAAACCCAGAGGTACGTGGACTATTGTCGATTTTAAAAGGACTAGCTATTGCTCCAAGGAGCCATGGCGGTGCAGTAGTTGTGCTTGGCTGCTACAGAGAGGTGGGTGTTCAGAGCCCATCCAGTGACACAGCGGGGGAAAGACTGGGCTCTTTGCTCCTGTAAGCAATTACTGCTTAGAAAACCCGAGAAGGATTAAGCCTCTGTTGAATTTCCCCTGAACATAGTCTAGGCACGTGAATAGCATGGCTATCAGAGAACATTGTAAACTCTTATTATGACAGGTGTAGTTAGGTTAAAACTTAACACTTTACCATTTGATCTCCCTTTTGACTCATTTTAAAGTTGTTTCGGCTTTTAATATTTTCTGCTTTCCCACTGAGGTTTTTTGGACACTGTTGCCTTTTAAAAAAATCATTTTATTGGGGGCTTGTACAACTCTTATCACAATCCATACATCCATCACATTGTGTCAAGCACATTTGTACATTTGCTGCCATCATCATTCTCAAAACATTTTCTTTCTACTTGAGCCCTTGGTATCAGCTCATTTTTTCATTATTGTCTTTTCTGTTTGTTTGCTTCTTGTTTGTTTTGTATGGCTTTCTGTATATGAAATCCAGGATAGGTAAATCTATAGAGACAGTAGCTGGATTAATAATTATCTAGGAGCATGGCAGGTAAGGTTGGGGGAAATGGAGAGTTAACAACAGAGTACCAGAACAAATTGTTCTGAAATTCATTATGGTGATGACCAGACAACTCTTAATACGATTGAAAGGTTAAATCATATGATGTGTGAAGTATAGGCCAATAAAACTTTTTTTAAAAATCATTTTATTAGGGGCTCATACAACTCTTATCACAGTCCATACATACATCAATTGTGTAAAGCTCATTTGTACATTCATTGCCCTCATCATTCTTAAAACATTTCCTCTCCATTTAAGCCCCCCGGCATTAGGTCCTCATTTTTCCCCTCCCTCCCTACTCCCCCCTCCCTCATGGGCCCTTGATAATTTATAAATTATTATTTTGTCATATCTTGCCCTGTCCGACGTCTCCCTTCACCCACTTTTCTGTTGTCCGTCCCCAGGGAGGGGGTCACATATAGTTCATTGTAATTGGTTCCCTCTTTCCAACCCACTCTCCCTCTACCCTCCCAGTATTGCCACTCACACCACTGGTCCTTAAGGGATCATCCACCCTGGATTCCCTGTGTTTCCAGTTCCTATCTGTACCAGTGTACATCCTCTGGTCCAGTCAGACTTGCAAGGTACAATTCGTATCATGATAGTGGGGGCGGGGAGGAAGCATTTAGGAACTAGAGGAAAGTTGTATTTTTCATCATTGCTACATTGCACCCTGACTGGCTCGTCTCCTCCCTGAGACCCCTCTGCAAGGGGATCTCCAGTGGCCTACAAATGGGCTTTGGATCTGCACTCCGCACTCCCCCCATCATTCCCTATGGTAAGATTTTTTGTTCTGATGATGCCTTATACCTGATCCCTTCCACACCCTGTGGTTGCATAGGCTGGTGTGCTTCTTCCATGTGGGCTTTGTTGCTTCTGAGCTTGATGGCCGCTTGATTACCTTCAAGCCTTTAAGACCCCAGACACTATACTTTTTGATAGCCGGGCACCATCAGCTTTCTTCACCACATTTGCTTATGCACCCATTTGTCTTCAGCGATCCCTTCAACACCTGGTGATCACACAGGCTGATATGTTCTTCCATGTGGGCTTTGTTTCTGAGCTAAATGGCCGCTTGTTTACCTTCAAGCTAATAAAATTTTTAAAAAATTATTTTATTGGGGGCTCGTACAATTCTTATCACAATCTACACATACATCCATTGTGTCAAGCACATATGTACATTTGTTGCCCTCATCATGCTCAAGACATTTTCTTCTACTTTAGCCCTTAATGTCAGCTGCTCCTTTCCCCGGCCAAAAGAATTTTAAAAGTAAACGGCAGACTGGGAGAAAATAATGACAAAATGCTAAAGGACTTATATTTTAAAAAATACAAAGAGCAATTAAAATTAAGCAATAGGAAAATTAAAAGGTGGGCAATGTATTTGAACAGACATTTCAGCCAATGAGATAAACAGATGTCAGATAAGCATAAAGAGGCTCAACATCACTTCGTGTCAGGAAAACAGAGTTAAGATGACAATAAGCTACACACCTATCTGAATTGCTATGATAAAAACCTGATAATAAACAATACTTGTGAGAATGTCGGGCAAGAGGAAAACTCATTCATTGATAATGGGACTGCCTAACACGACAGACACTTTGCACACAGTGTGGCAGTTTCTTTTAAAGCTAAAAATAGTCTTACTCCGCAGTCTAACCATCTTTCTCCTAGATATGAATTGCATTGAGTTGATATTTGTTTACACACAAAACTTGCACATAAATATTTTTGGAAGCATTTTTTATAATTGCCCCAAGCTAGAAGCAACACGATATCCATTAGTAGGTAAGTGGATAAATGACTCATGGTGCACATGTACAATGGACTGTTCCCCTGCCGTAAAAAGAACTGAACATTAAAAAGACAGCATTGTTGCTAGGTGCCATTGAGTTAGTTCCAGTCCATAGCGACACTATGTACAACAGAGCGAAACTGCCCCTTCCGTGCCATTCTCAGGTGTTTTTGTATTGTCAGAGGTCTTCCTCTTTTTCTTTAAAAAAAAATTATTTTATTGGGGGCTCGTACAATTCTTATCACAGCCCATACATCCATCCATTGTGTCAAGCACATATGTACATTTGTTGCCCTCATCATTCTCAGAACATTTGCCTTCTACTTTAGCCCTTAATATTAGTTGCTCATTTTCCCCCTCCCTAAAACTTTTTTTTTTTTTAATTTAAGAACAAACCCATAAAGACAGTTCCCTATAAAGCAGGGAAGCAACACAGACCACATGGAAGAAGCACACCAGCCTGTGTGATTACAGGAGCTGGCGACAGGATCAGGTATCAGAAGATCCAAAACAATCATATGGATGCAAACGAGGGGGATCAGAATAGAGACCCAAAGCCCATCAGTGGACAATTGGACATCCTCTCACAGAAGGGCCAGAAGGGGCGAGTCAGCCAGGGTGCAGTATAGCACCCATGAAATTAACAATATTCCTCTAGCTCAGTGGTTCTCAACCTGTGGGTCGCGTGCCCTTTGGGGGTTGAACGACCCTTTCACAAGGGGTCGCCCGATTCATAACAGTAGCAAAATTACAGTTATGAAGTAGCAACAAAAGTAATTTTATGGGTGGGGGTCACCACAACACGAAAAACTGTATTAAAGGGTCGCAGCAGTAGGAAGGTTAAGAATTAGCAAGGTAGCACTTTAATGTGCCACCCCCCACCCCACCCCACCCCCGCCTCCACTATCATGACTCCAGTTCTACCTTACAAAGCCAGCTAGACTGGAGCATGGACATTGTTACAGATAAGCGCTCTCCACACAGGCAACCCAGGACACATATGCACCCACCCCCCTTCTTCCCCGGGAACAGTAATGCAGCTATACCATGAGGGCAGGGAGAAGGTGGTAGAAGGGAGAGAAAGGGGGCACTGATCGCACAATGACCAACGTATACCCCCACCCGTCAGGGGTACGAACAACAGATTCACGGGTGAAGGGAGCCTGCGGACGGCGTAGGATATGACAATAATAATAGTACTCCATAATTTATCAAGGGTTCTTGACACGCTGAAGTATTTGCAGTGAAGAGTCATGCCTTCAATTTTAAAATGAGTCAGTAAAAATGCACGCGCACCTAGAGAGCTATGCGAACATGTTGACCCGTACTGAGTCGAGGTGATGGCCGTTCTTTGAACTTTTTGATAGGTTCTATTTTCAATGTGCAGGGGCTGTCTTCCTCAGAAGACTGATGGAGTTAGGTTAATTAAGATCGTGCCCAGCATTGTGCTGAAAACTTCCTAAGAGCTCAATGACTTGGTTAAACGGCTCCGAAATGAACAGCAACGCCCTGTCCCCTTCAACCCTTGATTACCTTCTTCGCGTTGGAACCGCTCCCGAAAGCAAACCGACCTAAGAGAAAGTTTCTCCCTCGGGGCTCGCCGTAGCAACGAGAGCGGTGATTGGCTGGAGCGCGCTGACGTCTTATTGCGCCGCGACCGCGTTCTCCCGCGGCGCTCACGTTCCGCTTCCGAATGTTCAGTGCCTGTCAGCGCTCAGCTTCCTGGGACCATGGCTCAGAAACCGCTGCGCCTGTGAGTAATTGAATCGGAAGCCGGTGTCTGAAACGACGGGCAGGACTCCTCCTCATGCCCAAACCGAACTTACTAAAGCGACCCTGTAGGACCAATTAGAATACCCTGTGGGTTTCCGGGAGCAGAAGCCCCCAGCGTTCTCCCGCAGAGCGGCTGACAGCTTCGAACCCCGGACCTTGTGGTTAACAGCCCAACGCGTAACCACCACACCCCACTTTTGACAGGAACGGGTAGAGATCGAGGGGGATGGCGATGTGCAGTTCAGCTCAGGTTTTGGCCTTGCAGAAGTATGCCTCTTTTCTGCCTGTTTTCGCTCCGATGAGACTCTTGGGGACAATCTCTGGGGGAGGCGAAGCTCCCTGCAGTAGGCGAACTCCATCTGAGGCGGTTGCGGTTGTGACTCACTCTCTCCCCTTCATTTTCTCCCATATCCCATTAATCAAATACTTGTAGACATCGGACCCAATGCTGGGCTCTGAAGATAGTGGTGGGCAGGAAAGACAGGGCTTTTGCCTCGGCTCTTTTTTTCTGGAGGTTCGAGGAACCGCGGTGGCGTAAAGAGAGGGTTTCATTCATTCAGCAAATATTTTCATTCAGCAAAGATGACGTTTCTGCCCTAATGGAGCGTGTAGTACAGAGTAACAGATATAAAATAATCCAAATAAGTGTAAAATTACTGTAGTGCTCACTGTCACGAAAAACATAATAGAGGGTGCCTAATAGACGCGTTTGCCTGAGTAATCAGGGAAGACTTCCAAGAGGAAGTGAGGATTGAACCCTGGTAAACTTTTTTTTGTTTGTTTGTTTTAAGTTTTACCCACCTCCTACCCCATTCTCCTCCCTAACTCCCCCAAAGTTTTTATCAGCAGCTCTGGCAAATCAACTTTTTATTTTTGGAAACTTGATTCTGCTCCAGTGTTGAGAAATGAGAACCAAAGAGGAGGGCAAGTAGAATGAGCCGAGGGATGGCAGTGGAGAAATACAGGATTAAAGATTTATCAATGAATGAGGTGAAATCCACAGGGCTTGGTGATGGTTTGGGTGTGAGGAAGGGGTTGGTCCTGTGGGGTCATAGATTGCAGTCCTTCAGTTAAATAGTGGATATGGGTAAAGGGCCCAATGAGAAGAATTTTGAGATGCTCTGGGATGTACAAACTGGACAGTGGTGTTCCCAGGAACAGTATAAGTTCATGGAAAAATGTAACAAAAAGAGAATGGAGTAATGTAATCAGGCCATATATCACTATGATAGAGGAAGCTTAGGTAGAAATTGGAAGGCTCTGGACAACTTGAGCACATGCTCCCAGGAAAATAGACTTGCTCTTTGCAGGGTCACCACAAACCTTCTATTAGTGTAAAACACTTATGAACAACACCCCCCCCCCCCCATAGCTGCAACGTGCTGTAAAACAAAGCACCGTAAAACGAGGCATGTCTGTATACGAAGCCTGTTTCTGTTTCTGTCTGGGCCTTCACATTTGTCTGGTGTCTCTCTTGTTTGCAGCTTGGCTTGTGGAGATGTTGACGGGAAGTTTGATGTTTTATTCAATAGAGTTCGAGCAATTCGGAAGAAAAGTGGAAACTTTGATGTAAGACATTCTTCATACTGAATTTAATTATATTATGGTAGTCAAGCATTCTAAAATGAAGTCTGGGCTCCTTTATTGATTTCTGATTGAACCCATACGTTCCCTTTTGTGTTGCACTGAGTCCCTTTTGTCAGTTGGGATGGCTGGGGCATGGCTGGGAGTGCGAGACCTATCTCTACAGACCTTTTTGTACTTTTTGAATTTGACTCTTGTTACTGTAGTGTTCAAAAACCTGAAAACGGACTCACAAAACCTCCCTATGTGATTCTCACTAGGTGGGTTTCAGAAGCACTCATCTGCTTCAGGAGTGGAGCAATGGGTTAAGTTAGATAATATATGTGCAAATGCTTCACCAATTACCCGACTGCCGTGGAGTTGATCCCAACTTTCGGTGCCCACACGTGTGTCAGAGTAATTGCTCCATGGGTGTCCATGGCTGGTTTGTCAAAAGTAGAAAACTCCAAGGTGCTTTGGTTGGACTTGAACTGCCAACCTTTGGTAAGCAGCTGAGCATATGAATCGTTTGCTCAGGTGTGCACTTTATATAAACGTTATGTTATTTCAACTAGTTTGTAAACCCCATCTAGAGATGGGGATCATTTTCTAGTAAGTTAAAGATTGAATAAAGACACCATGCAGGAAATGTGTGTGTGTGTGTTTTTCATGCCCAGAGGCTGTCGGCTCCCATAAAGATTCACTATCCCCCAAATCCCAAGGAGCAGTTCTATCTTGTCCTATAGGCTCTACTTGTTGGCTATTCGTTATCCCTAAGGGTGTCTACTCTTTTAGTTTTTTATTTCACAGAGGGATTCTTCCAAGATCTAGCTCCTCCTCATCACTGTCTAATTCCAGGAAGGAGTGGCACAGGGGGCTGGGAATATTTGAGGACCACTCAAATGCTAGTCTTTGGAAAGGTCACTTCCCTGACTCTCTCCTCTACTACCAACTTGAATTTGGTAACTAGTGGGCAATATTTGGTAATTTATAGAATCAATGTAACTACTACAATTGCTGCTAAAAGATTGTGTATTGAAGTTCTGCAAATTGATTTAGCATGAAAGCCTGGTTTGAGATGATAGAGAAGGATACTTATGTAAATGTTGATATCATTTATGTACTGTTTGGATGAAAAAACAACAATAACAGAACACACCTCTATCTGTTTACAAAACTCATTTCAGCTGCTATTGTGTGTAGGAAACTTCTTCGGGCCCACCCCAAGTGCTGAATGGGAGGAATATAAGACCGGCATCAGAAAAGGTATGGAAATGATTTCCATTTAGTAGATGATTTCTAGCAAAGATGTAAGGGCTAACCTTGATCCTGAGTTGTTTTTCTTACCATGTTACTGAAGAAAGAAATTCCCCCACGAGCTTTGCACTAAGTTGGGGAAAATGCTAGTGGATAATCCAAGTGTTAACATTTTCAGTTTGGTTGGATTTAGCTTCAGAAAAGAATACTCTTCAAAGGAGGAAGAAACGGAAGAAATGTAATCATATGTGTTCCTTCCTTTTTCTAGTTCTAGTGTTTTTTATTTAGGACCTCTGTTTTCCTAACCATTGTGTACATGGTCTCAAATATGTATGTCACTTTATCAGGCTGATCATGCAATCTAATGGTCGGACTACACGGTTGGGTGTAGGGTACTTTGAACAGCGAGCATGTTCTGTGTATCGGATTGCTATGAGGGGGAATGCACAGCTGCTCCACTTCGGCTCTAAGATTTGGGGAAGCATTTCTCAAGTTGTATAGCGTACTTGGTAACTATATGGTGGCATATCTCTCTCTCTGCCCAGCTCCTATTCACACATATGTGCTGGGTGCAAATGACCAGGAAACAGTAAAATATTTTGAAGATGCCAATGGGTGTGAATTAGCAGAGAACATTACTTATCTGGGTAAGTTGGCATTTGCTGGGCTTGTAATGGGCACTCCTGCCTGAGGAGGTGGGGCTAGGGGGCTTCTTTTCTAAGAAGGCTGTCTGCCCTCAGGACGAGGACATTTTCCTTTCTTGTCTTCCCTGTCTCCTTAATCTTTGCGGACCAACAACCTAGCATGCACTCTTCCAGCCTGCTAGAGTGATAAACTGCTTGACTGCAGTATGTAGAGTACTTAGGGTATGAATTAGGTTCAAATAAAGGAAATTTCATGTATATATCCTTGCTTTGGTTATACAAGGTGAGGGTGTGTGGTGTTTCAACCCTTGAATATAACCTTACTATATGATCTTGCTAACACGTGCAACTTACTTTGTTTGTGAGATTCCTAACTAGCTTAACTCTAGGTTGTTGCTCATGAGCATAAACTAGCAGCCCCTTGAGGTTCCTCTCTTTCAAGTTGTTGTCACTTTTAGCCCATATAGATAGTTCTTAAAAGAACATACCGTATATACTCATGTATAAGCCAAGTTTTTCAGCACATTTCCCCCCCTCCGCCCCTAGCACATTTTTAATGCAGTTTTTGTGGTAAAATTAGGTGCCCCGGTTGATATTTGGGTGGGCTTATACTCGAGTATATATGGTAATACTTAAAAGATAAAATCACCAAATCCATTGCTGTTGAGCCAATTCCAACTCATGGTCTCCTATAGGACAGAGCAGAATCTCCCCCATAGGGTTTCCAAGATTGAAATCTTTATTGAAGCAGATGGCCAAATCTTCCTCCTGTGGAGTGCCACATGGGTTCCAACTGCCACATTTCCTAAAGTGGGGGATGCTGCCCCCTGGTGGGGTGCTTGAATGATCTAGGTAAGCTGCAAAAGCAGTTTCCTACACTTTATCCTGGATTGTGGGCTATAGTATAAACATTGTTAATTGTCAAGAGAGGCCCCAAGTTGTTTTTTTTTTTCCAAAAAGGCTGCAGAAGGCCAAATAAGTTTAAGGACCCATGATCTAGGGGGAGACAAAGACAAATGAAAGGGAGTAGAAGAGGGTTTGGAGGGGTCAGGTATTGTCAAGTTTATAGATGGTAAATAGGAGTGGGGAACAGGTGGCCCACAGGCTGTAGAAGGCCCTTGAGGAAATCATCAATACCAGCTAACATCACAGGCCTTACCAAAAAGAAGCAATTCCAGCCACCACAGTATGGTGACTACCGTCTCCCCAAAAGTAAGACATCCCCCGAAAATAAGACCTACTTACAGTTTTGCCTCTCGCTGAAATATAAGGCATCCCCCCTAAAATAAGACCTCCCCGAAAATAAGGCCCCAGAAGCTACCGTAACTCTGGACTTTGGACCGTAGTGGCGGGCCCCGTGCACAGCTCACTGTTGGCTGCAGCGCAGCCGGAGCAGACAGGGAGTGCGAGGTCTCTTTTAATAAAACAATAAATGTGTACCATATTCTTCTTCATGGAAAAATAAGACATCCCTGAAAATAACACCTAGCTCATCTTTGGGAGCAAAAATTAACATGACACTGTCTTATTTTGGGGGAAACGGGGTAAGTGAGGTAACTAAGTGTTTGACCAGTATGATGGCCCACGAACGATGTTATTAATGTCCAAAAGGCCCTTGGGGAGAAAAAAGTTTCCCCATCCCTGCTCTGAGGAAAGAGCATTGTTTTAGATGTGATCATTAGCAATTACGGGGTGTTTAGTGTCCTTGAAGAGAGGTGGCAGAGGAAAATGAGATTGCAGTAAGTTACCGAAGTGGGTTATTAAAGAGGTAGTAGACTTAGAGAATGTGGACTGCTCTTTTCAGAGTCTTAAATGAAATAGGAGCATGTTCCTTTGTCAGTGTGTGTGTTCATTTTGGATGGGGAACCTGAACATACATATATATATATATTTTTTTTCAATCTCCATTTATAGCAAAGGAAAGGGCCAACTATGAAGAGACCCAATAGATGAAAGAGAGATGGGGCAGGGTCTTAGAGGGAACAGGAAGGAACGAATTTAAGGAAATTGAGTAGAATCTCATTCCTTCTCATCAGCTGCTCTTGCTACATGTTTCTGACCACAGGGAAGATACTGCCTGCCAGAGAGGATATCTTTTCTGAGCAGTAGTCTCCTCAGACTGCAATTATTTTCCTTTTTCTCATTCCATTTCCCTCTGTCCAGGTGTCTGGGTTCCTTTTAGTCCCTGTAAGTCTTCACTTTTCAAAAATATTTTGCAAGGCCCCTGGGATAAATAGATGTAGTGCATGCCCGTGGGAAGGGCTCCTCTTTCTGACTGAACAGGGACACTGTGGTAGTGGTCCAGTAGATACCTGGCAGCCGGCAGTGGGGCCATAACAGAGTGTACCACAGGCGCAGAGGGTAGCGCGGGGGCAAGCAGAGAGAGATTCATCCCTATAATGACAGTTTTTTGCTTTCTGACGTGACTAAAGCGTCTCAATTTTCTTTCCAAACAGGCCGTAAAGGTGTCTTCACTGGAGCCTCGGGGCTGCAGGTGGTATACCTCAGTGGGACAGAGTCCCTCAGTGAGCCAGTCCCGGGTTACAGCTTCAGTCCCAAGGACGTGTCTTCCCTGAGGACTATGCTGTGCTCAGGATCTCAGTTTAAGGGCGTTGACATCTTGCTTACATCCCCATGGCCCAAGTATGTGGGGCACTTTGGGAATTCTTCTGTGAGTAGTGCTCATTCCGTGGAAATTTGTAAAAGCAAATTGTGCTGGTTTAGTTGCACCTCCCCCATCCCTTGCTCCACCCCACCCTTTGTACTGAGCTATTTCCCTCTTGGTACCTTTCAGTAGAAATCTGTTGTGAGTTTTTCAGTCATACTAGCTGACCAAAGCGAAATGTTGATCTTCAGAAAGTACAGTCCTCCTATGAGATTGCTGAAATCTGAATTATGAGCGAATGAACTTTGGAATCATAGTCCCTGCTCCAAGTGCCTTCTCCTAAGCCACCTCTTAAGAAAGTATTGTTGGATGTCACTAGTTTCTGTGCAAAGATTGATAACAAATGGGAGCTCGCAGCCCTCTTCCAGATGATAGCCTTTTGGCTCTCAGATTTTTTTTAAATGGGCTCTTTAGGGGATTGAGGTGTTGAGAACTTGGTGCTTCCCCACGGAGAAAGATAGTCCCCACCAGATATTCCGTATGATCCGAGGGGCCCCGAAGGCTAGGCCTTAGTTTTTATTTTCCGCTAGTCTTAGTTTTTATTTTTATTGGTTATAACTTACTAGTCAACATTGTTAAAACTATAGGTACACTGAAAAACCAATTCTGGAAGCACAGTTCTGGGCTCCAGTGAGAGCTTATTTCCAAGACAGCTTTAATAAATTATTTTGGGGTACTAGTATGGAGCAGTGAGCTTACCTCTAACCTCTGGCTGACTTCCAACAACAATGCCTATGTTAATATGCATGCATATTAATCAAGTTCCTCCACCTGCTCACCGTGACCCTAATTGCCCTAAGTGTGACTTCACTGTGCAGACCCCACTGGCCACCATTGTGTTTGCAGAGAAGCCTCAAAAGTATTCCTGGATGACTAGTGGGTCTCTCGTGGGTGACTGGGTTTCTGTTGACCAGGGAGAAGTGGATACTAAGACATGCGGCTCTGCTCTGGTTTCCAGTCTTGCCACTGACTTGAAACCAAGATATCATTTTGCCGCTTTGGAAAAGACGTATTATGAGAGGCTTCCATACCGGTGAGTAGCGTTTCATGTCTGCCCTCTACCCCACACCCCTCTTTTTTGGTGGCTTTTTGTTCCACAGAGCTGGCCATGCCCACCAAGAAGAAGACAGAGGAAGGGTTGTTAAGCTTCTCTTCACTGCAGCATCCTTGGGAGACCTTCCCCACAGGCACATGGTTTTTCTAGCAACTGGACAAACAGATGGCATGGTGGCTGACCACTGCCCAGCCTCGCTCTGGCATCTCTCACTTATATTTGCCAACTCTGGGTCCCACAACTGTTCCATGGAAGGTCCCCCAAGGACAGCAGCTAGGGCACCCTGAGCATTCACAATGGTGGATGCGGAGCAGGCCACGGGGGGGTGAGTGAAGTCTTGAGCCAGAGACATTAAGGCCCAAAGATTTTAGTGGATCCTTGATAGACACCACTCCTGTTTTCTAATAAAAACTGTACCACACAGAGTGTAAATTGGTACAACCACTTAGGAAAACTGTAGACAGTATCTGGTAAAGACAAGATTATACATGTCCTATAACCTAGAAATTCCACTCTCTGGGATGTAGCCAGTGTAAACAAGCACTTGTATCCACCCAAAGATCTGTACAAGCATGTCTGTAACAGCTTTATCTCTAAGAGCAAACACTATGAACTGCCCAAATGTCTGGACAGGGAGTGAAAGAACCCAGGTACCTTCACACAGTACTGCACACCATCTGGGGCAGGAAATGGGTGTGTTACTTACCTGTGCTGTGTCCTGTGGGCTCCTATGGCTGCTGTGTCCTGTTTGCTCCTATGGCTCCTGTGCTCCTATGGCTCCTATGGGCCAGTCTCTGGCCTTGATGTGAAATACCTTGAGGTTATCTTTATCTAAAGCAGTGGTTCTCAACCTTCCTAATGCCGCGGCCCTTTCATACAGTTCCTCATGTGGTGACCCCCCAACCATAAAATTATGTTTGTTGCTACTTCATCACTGTCATTTTGCTACTGTTGTAAATCAGGCGACCCCTGTGAAAGGGTGGTTTGACCCCCCAAAGTAGTTGTGACCCACAAGTTGAGAACCGCTGCTCTAAAGCGATATCTCCCCAAAAGACAGCTGGAGAGACAAACATGAGGGGCAATCTAAGCTGGAGGTCAAGAGAGTGGGTTCACTAATGGCCCGAAGGGCATTGAGCCAGATGCTAGAAAAGGCAGTCTGTTTGATCAAATTTCCCACTGGGTTTAGGAGAGAGGACTGGTAGAGAAAGAGGCAAGGCAGATTCTGTGCTTCAGGTGCTGGGGCCTGACTAGCAAGAGAAAGTCTTAGGTACAGTGTTTTTAAAGGTCCCCTCATCTCATCCTCGCTTTAGGCAGCTCCAGGAAAAAACACCTCATAAAACAATGGTTTATTTCTTCTTCAGCACTTCTAGAGACAGAGACGCACAGAGAGATTGGCCACCTGACTTGCTCTGAATAATTGGCACTCAGAGGAAAGTTGTATTCACTGTGTCCTCTTGTCCCTTTCCCAGGGTACGTACAAGCCTGTGGTCTAGGCATAGGCATCTTCTTGAGACAGAAGAGCGAGTCCTGTCCCTCACAACAATTTAAAAATTATTGAAGAGCCATAAGTATATTTTTACAAATGAAATCACCATTATCTGAATAATATCCTTTAAATTTTTAAAATTTTACTTCAGAGCTGCATGTACAGACTGAAAGAGTCGCATATGGCTTTTGCGCCACACTTTGCCGACCCAGCTCTAGATTGAAAGCTAAATCAGCTACCATTAAGTCATTTTGGCCTCATGAAGACCCAATGAGTGTTGGAGTAAGACTGTGCTCCGGGGTTTGCAATAGGAGCCTTTTCAGAAGTACAGTGCCAGGTCTTCCAAGGTGCTTCTGGCTGGACTTGAACCTTCAACTTCTTGGTTAGTAGCCAAACTGAACCCTTCAAGGACTTACTTTTAAATACCGTAAAACTTGCTGAAGCTGGAACGTGTGTAAAGTGGAAGCCCGTCAGAGCAGGAGAATTCAAATATAGCTCATACTAAGAGCAGTAGAAAAATGGTAAGACTGCAGTCTGTCCACGGTGGCTAACTTGTGAGATCCGGACAAACCAGGCGTCCTGTCCAGTTCCGGCTCTCGCAGGTTTCACTAGTCTTGCTTTCCGTTCTTCCAGACGACAGCCCTGTGAGGCAGGGACTGCCATTCGACTAGACGCATTAGTAACTTATCCAAGATGACGTTACTGTGACGGGCTTGGGTCCTGGGCCCTTTTTGTGGCCCCTTGGAGCCAAATGATTTCATCAATGCACATCAAATGGGAAGTTTGTTTGCTCACCCGCTCTGTTTGCAATCTTTTAGAAACCACATTGTACTACAGGAAAATGCACAACATGCCACCCGGTTCATTGCGCTGGCAAATGTTGGAAACCCAGACAAGAAAAAGGTAGCGCTGTATGTATTTGGTGTGGGCTTAATAGTCTTTGTCCCCCTGATAAATGCTCCTCCTCCCAATCCAGCGTCTATCTCTTCTTTTCTCCGTAACTGTAAGGTCCCCACAGCCCCAGTAACTCCTTTTGAGGGGTCTAGCTTCTTGAAGTCCCTCTGGGAGATCTGAGAGTTTTCTGTGGAATCTTCATCATAGGGAAAGCAGTATTTATTTAACACTTTTTTTTTTAATTTCAATTTCTCCAAAGTACCTTTACGCGTTCAGTATTACTCCCATGAAGCTGATGGGAGCAGCGGACCTGGTGAAGCAGCCTCCAGATGTCACGGAAAACCCGTACAGAAAGTCTGGGAAGGATTCAGCCGGGGGAAAGCAGATTCCTGCCCCCGAGGTCAGTTTGATCGAGGGATAGTGTGTTCTCGGCCGGCTTGCCCCTTCGTCACATGGGTCCTTCCTGGCGGAAGTATTCTTGTCATGTTGTTTAGTACATGGGATACATTTAATGCTTAGAAGAGAAATCTTCCTTCTTCCCATTGGGAAATCATGGTAGTGTTAAGAAAGCTTCATGCAAGCTCAATGTTTTTGTATAATTATACTGGTTGAGGCTAACCACCTACACTTGATTCATATGTTGGGGTTGAATTTCACATGCTCTTTCCTTTGCTAAACTTAGTTTTTCAAACAAGGGTTTGAATACTTGGTGGCAGTGTCATTTGCGATTTGATGATGAGTGCTGGTAGTGAAACCAGAAGACTCTTCTGTAATGATTTCTCCACGAATGCAAGGGGTGTTAAGCACCATCGTTGCCTACGAAATCTGTTTTTCACATGATTCTTTTTTTTAAGAGCACCCTCATCATCTTTTTTGACCAAAGCTCCATTCCATTGCCTGGACCTCTGTAGAACTCCTTTTGGTCTTGTTGAGGAAGTAAGGGACAGGAAGGTTGGTGGCTTATACTGTTGCTGTTTCCAAAGAGATGACTTTGGTGGGATGTTGGGTAATAAGTCTTGAGAAATGTAGCTGAGAGTCCAGGCACCAGGAAAAGATATTTCCTCCCTTGAATCCAAAGCAGAAAAGAATGAGAGGGCAGATACACTCGATGTGGCAGGAATATCTACTTGTACGTGGATGTCTGACTCCTGGTGTAAAGGTCAGTTGCATCCTATTTACTCTTCTGCCTTTGACCTTTGCAGGAAGAATCCCCCTGCCAGTTCTTCTTTGACTTGAATGAAAAGCAGGGAAGAAAGCGCTCCTCTACAGGCAGAGAGATCAAGTCGTCCCCACACACAAAGCAGCCTCGCAAACCTCGTGAGTACCTGTGCTCCAGACCACCCACGCTGCAATGACTGTGATGTCAGGGCTTTTTTGGGAAGTAGCATCACTGAGGGGCCTCTTATGGCAGAGGACAATTGTATACCAAGACATGAGATCATCTCTCCCCACCTCTTGTATCCGCGGGAGTTGTCATGTAGCTAATAGCATGGCTGGGACGAGAACCGGGGCTGTTGACATCCAGTGCAGCAGCGTGTAGCCAGTTTTATGCCACTTCAGCCAATGTCTGGTTACCCTACCTGTGGGTGGTCCCCCCTTCAGAGCGATTCTCATAGAGCTGTGGCTTCACCAGTGATGGTTTTAATGGTGTGCTGTCGTAGTGAGGAGCACGACAGGCCCAGCCAGGGTGGCATTGTGGTCTCTCAGTCTTTGCAGGTAGTAGCGGTCAGACCAGGAAGATTTTCTCTTGTGCTTGGACTGATGTCTGGATTTTCTTTCTTCCACATGTAGCTCAGCCTCCAGGACCCTGCTGGTTTTGTCTGGCCAGCCCCGAAGTAGAAAAGCATTTGGTGGTCAACGTGGGTACACATGTGAGTTACTTTCATGGGCATTTTACAGGCAGGAAGACATCTTGCTTTTGTATGTGTATGTCGTGGGTCAGTGTGCTGTTTTGTTTAGTGAGGCACAGCATTGTTTTTGCTAGTCTCAAACTCGCTGCCGTTGAGTTTGTCTGACTCAGCCACCCCCTGTGGGTCTTCGAGATCGTAACTGTTTACAAAAGTAGAAAGCCCATTGTTGCTCTTGCAGAATGGCTGGTGGTTTTGAACTGCCAACCATGAGGATGAGTATCATGGCCCAATAGATAACCACTACACAAACAGGGCTTCTTATTTGAGATAGCAAGTTGAACTTTGTGATTAAATTCTTAAGTTATAATTCATGACACATCTTTCAAACAGCTATTCAAAAACACATAAAACTGTTGAACTACCATTTTGTGATTAGTGCTTTTAGCAACTCTTTAGGAAGCATAAAGTAGAGGAGATATCTTATTGGCACAAATTTGTGAATTATGTGAGTATAGGTTTAAGATAATTAAAACTAACTGATTATGAACAAAAAGTGACAGTCTCAGAAACCCACAAGGGCAGTTGTACTCCGTCCTATCCTCCCTGCCATCAAGTCCATTTTACCTCACAGCAACCCTATAGGACAGGGTCGCACTAGCCCCATGGGTGCTATAAGCCAGAGTCGACTTGGCAGTGAGTTTGGGTTTGGACCAGAAGAATGAACAAATCATTCTTGAAAGAAGTGTAGCCTCAACACAAGAATACTTTCCTTTATTAAAATTGGCTTTCTATGATGCTCACCTTCCCGACACAACCGCTGAAAAAAAAGCGGGTGAATAAGCAAATGTGGTGAAAAAAGCTGATGGTGCCCGGCTATCAAAAGATATAGCGTCTGGGTTCTTAAAAGCTTGAAGATAAACAAGCGGCCATCTAGCTCAGAAGCAACAAAGCCCTCACGGAAGA